AGACAGAGGACCTCAGTGGCTGATTTAGAAGTTACTGGGTCCATAGAAATAAGAGATTTTAGACACCCAGCCACATATTTCACATCATTATATGTTGTGACAAGTCTAAAGGTTCGTTTAATTTAAACTGGAGTTGGCTTTCAGGATTATGTTGGAAAGTTTTTCTCAAGGTGACACAAGATCACACAAACAACTTTTCATCTTTGTCTTGTTCATATATCTGATATCTTACGGAAACAGAACCAGAGACTTCCTGGAGAGAATTTCTTATTTCTAATAAATATCCTAATCCAGTGACTCAATGAATTCCAGGATAACAACTCCTATGGTCCATATTCTGCCTGCTTTGCTTTATTTAAAGTAACATATAAACACCATTTTCTAAGAAAGTATTAATAGTGTGATAGAATTTGTAAACCACTTTTTAAAATTATTTTTATTTTTTTAATTGACAAATAGTTATTGTACATATTCATGAGGTATGTAGTGATATTTCAATACTTATAATGTATGATGATCATATTGGGGTAATTAGTTTGCCCACCATATCAAACATCTATGGTTTCTTTGTGGTGGAAATATTTAATATCCTCCTTTAAGTGATTTGAAGCTATATATTGTTGTCAACTATAGTCATCCTACAGTGGTAGAACCAAATTTTTTACCATTGAAAGTGAAATTATAAACTTTAAAAAGCTCTATCTTCCCCATTGTGAAATATTCCTCTTCTTTGAATTCCCTCTTCTGATTTTCATTTCAGACCACATTGAACTTAAGGAATTATGTACAGTGGGAACACATAATTCTAGCTGTCCTGTTTCTTGTGAGGAAACGGAATACCCTGCCACTATTTCTTATTCCAGTTTCCCAAGTCAAACAGCTTTGAAATATCTTTCCAAGAAGTTGAATAAAAGCCAGAAATATATCAGGTAATCTTGTTAGTCTTGTAAATTACTTGTAATAAATGTGAATATTTCCTTTAGTGAAAACTCTCAAAGACTCAGAAAATAAAATTCCTATCAATCAAGGGAGGTGACAGCTTGTCATTGAATTAACAATGATAGCATAGAATTTTTAAATTAGATAACATCATGTCTTTCAACCACTTACTTTAATTGTGTGAAAGGAAAATGATGTTTGCTTGAGGAATTTGCTCATGATCACACTTTTACTGCCCCGACGGGGGAAAATAATAATTCTGCCTAATATCAATGAATGCTCTAAAATATGAAAATTCCTTAACAGTATATTATATAGTTTGAGTCTTCTAGTAACTGCATAAGGTAGATGAAACAGAAATTATCATTCTAATGTTACAGATGAGGAAACGGAAGCACATTGTATTTTAAGTAACTGTCCTGCAAAGATAGCAGCACAGAAGGAAGTTGTGGCCAAGATCTTTGACTCTCATCCTCATAGACTTTCCACAGAGGAACGTGATTCCAATTCCTCTGATTAACTGAGTATTAAATGAGTTCTCTTCCTGCTATACCATGCTGGCTCTTAGTAATTACCAATCAAATTTCATAAAGAACTCTTTGTTTTCTAATTGAGGAAAACCTTAATATTTCTCTTTGCTTTTTATTTATATGTTTAGGCCTACAACATGAAACAACAATATAGTATATTGGTATTTGTACTTATATTTATTAATATAAAAATATATTAACTAATTTAAAGTTGATTTACATTTGCACAGTCAAGTACCTGACTTTGAGAGTATGTTTTGATTCTACTTTTAGCCTTGTATTTAATTTAAAAAAAATATATTCCCCATGTAAATGCCTATACAGTAAAGTGATCTTTACAAATCAGAAAGAAAAAGTGTTTTCATCAAGACAGAACTAATGGAGGTATGATTTCAAACACTTAGCAGATAAAAAAAGGAAGAGCTACAAAATTTGTAATTATGTCTTTGTTTATACTTCTGACTCTAACACAGATATCTCTGTATTTTATTTTAATGTGGGAAACTGATTTGCTTGTAATGTCATTCCTGTTATATCTAAATATGACTTAAAAGAGCACTTTTAATGACTTTTGGCTGATAAAACTCTCCTGAATGTCATTATTATTTAATATGCAGAGAACATAGACATGATTTTGGAGACACGTTGGTGAATCAGAAAAGAAAGCCATGTACAAAACAAGATGATCCTGAAGAATGCTGTTTTTTTTCCCCAAAACTCAGATTATTATAAATGTATCTCCAATTAATCCTATTACATAATTGACAGGTAGGGACCTCACATGGTTGTGAATAGTTAAGGTAAGGAGATGAAACAAAGGTGGCTAGACTCAGAGGTTGCCCAAATCCTAGATAGAGGCAGTTAGAAGTCACACATATGATTAAGAAACTGGTTTGTGGACAGAAATCAAAGAGTGATGAATCAGAAAATACAAATGCAAGCTGGGGGTGGTAGCTCATGTGTGTAATCCCAGCATTTGGGAGGCTGAAGTGGGAAGATTACTTGAGGCCAGGAGTTGGAGACCAGCCTGGGCAACACAGTGAGACCTCACCTCTATAAAAACTAAATAAAAAAAAAATTAGCCAAGTGTGGTAGTGCACACCTGTAGTCCCGGCTACTTAAGAGCTCTGAAGCAGACAATAGAAGAATCCCGTAAGCCCAGGAGCTGGAGGCTGCAGTGGGCTATGATCAGGTCATTGCTCTCCAGCCTGGCTAACAGAGTAAGACTCTTTCTCAAAAAAAACAAAAACAAAAACAAAAAAAACAATAAGAAAACACAAGTGCAGTTTGTCAAAGGAGTGGATGTAAAATCTTCGCAGTAGTAAGATTAAAAAGAAGCAAACTCTGCCTTAAGCATGAATTCCTATGTATGTCTTCCTGGGGCAGAAATCAAAGCCACACAATGGCTGATCCAGAGTTCCAGGTGACAGCTCCTGGACCCCAAAATGATAAGAAGCTTAGCTTGACCAAACAGGCAGTGAGGAGGTGAATATAAGGGTAAATTGTGGCTGTATATAAGCCTATTTCATTAGCAAAACAAGTGAATTTTTTAAATTGTTCCATTTTAACTTAAATTTTGAAATAAAAATTGTTTGCTTTGCGCAAAACTAATTCATTCCCCTTAAGGCAGCATTCATGTTCAAGCATCAGAAAGCATTTCTTTAGTGTTTTGTAACACAATGAAAAACTTAGTTTTTATTTTATAATATGGCTCTCATGACACAAACAAACATTCTTGGACTTAAATCCTAAACAATTTCACTCTCACCACAAGGCACAGATTCAGTGTGACCCAAATTACTGGGCAGATCAGCTGCCTGAGAGAAATTGAGTAAATATCACAATATTTTTGTGGGGGAGTAATTCATCTTCTCTCAAAAACACAGATGGACAATGTTTGTAAATGATTATGAATGTTGTGCTTGGGAAATTAAACAATGTTATCAGTGTACATGCAAATTAGGAGCACAACAGAGGCTAAAAAGATTGAAATATTACTGGAATTTCTGTACTTCCAAGACAACTTTATTATTTCCATCACTTTGGCAACTGCTTTATTATATGTAAATATTACCATACCCCCCATTATCTATTTCAACATAGTACATTATCCTGTTACCCAGAGTTAAACCAATGGATATTAAGTAAACACATTAATGTTGTATTTTAAATTAAGTATATTTGGGAATATTGGTTTCAAAAACTGTAAACAATAATGAGAGTGATTTACAGCCACATTTCTTAGATATATTAAAGAATACCATGTAATTCTAGAAAACGTCGTTAATAGGATCCCTTTTTAATGATGATTATTGTTGCCATTTGCAAATCATGAGGTAGTTGGTTTCCACCTCACCTTATAACCCAGGTGAATATTTAGCCACTCATTTATTGGTTTCCTCTTTAATTTGTTCCCTTATTTGTCCATTTTACAAATATATAATGAGCACCTACAATGTGTTAGGATTCGAGGAGTATTCAAAGCATTGGGAATACCTCAGTGTACAAGACAAAAGCCTTGTCTTGTTGTGCTATGTCCACCAGGATGGAGATGGACCCTAAGTATATCTAGTCACGTCCAATGGCGCTGAGTGCTGTGGAGGGAAGGCAGCAGAGAAGCAGTCTCAGGAAGCCAGAGCCAGGGAGAGTTGTTTGCAGGGTTGTGGGGCATGATCAGGAAAGACCTTCCTGAGAAGGTGAAATTTGGGCAAAGACCCAATGCAGAGGTTCTCAAAGCTCCATGGGGGAGTTTTACTTGCAGTATAGTGGGAAGTCGTAGATTGGGGGGATGGGGGTTGAGAAGAAGAGTGACATGATGTGGCAAGTTGCAGGCGTATATTTTGGTTATTGTATGAACAGAAGGTGTGTATTTGTTGAGGTGGGGTGCATTACAGTTGGAAGCAGAATGACTGGTGAGAAAGCTGTTGCAAAAATTCAGGTGCGAAATAATGAAGAGCTAGGCAAAGGTGGTAGCACTGAATAGGGTGGGAGGTGGCAGCAGCCCAGACACATTTTGAAGGTTAGGCAAATAGGGTTTCCTGATGGATTGGCTATGGGGTGAGAAATTTTATAGTACGTTATAAATTTGAGGAAATAGCAAGAGTTTGACTTGGACTATGCTAAATTTGAAATACCCGTTAGATATCCAAGTAGAAATATTAATAGGCAATTGGATATATTATTGAAGTTCAAGGAAGAGACGTGGCTGGAGATAGAGAGCGAGAGCTTCCAAGAGCCCACAAAGAGCTATAATTTTATTTTTTAAAAGTTTTAATTTTTTTTTTTATTTTTAAGAGAGCTACTATTTTAAAATAATGTTTAGCCACTCCGGTCACATATAAAGATTTCTAGAAGATGTAAAGGAATCAGAATCTTTGCCCAAATATACACTGACGACATAGAGGAAATAATTAGTATTTACTGAACACTCAATATTCATCAGCTTCTGTGCCAGATTCTATACATTATTTAATTTCTCCTCGCCACAACTCTGTGAGTTCAACTAAAATTCTGACTACTCATGAGGAGTCCGAGATTCAGGAAAACAATGTGGGTTACATAAGTAATGAAGGACAGAACCAGAGTTTGAATTAAACTTAAAAACACCTTTAAATTTCTGTAAATATTTTATTCTACTTAGTGGATGTTTACATGTATCTTTTTTAGTTTCTCGGGAATGAGGTGGAGAAAGATAATTCTTTCTCCTAAACACTAACATGACAAAAATACCTTATTCAATCATGCTAATTGTGATTAATATTGAATCTAATTCTGTGCCTAATTCAACAATTAATAACATTTAAACAAAAAATGCATATTACTTTTGTCAGCTGGGAGTTAAATGTAGTGCTGACAATCATGAACTATGTTACTCTGTTTTTATCCCTAGTGAAAATCTTGTAAACATCGAAATAAACTATAGTGATTTAAACTATAAGGTAACCCAGCAGCAAAAAGCAGTGAGTGTGTCTGAGTTACTTGGTAAGTGTTATTTAGCTGTTCCTCAATTTTTAAAAATTTTTCTTTAGTTTTTTTCCCCCTTTCATATTTAAGGTTTAGCTTATTTATGAAGGAAAAATAATCAATAATACTTGTCATTCGGCTACTATGTGAATCTTATAGCATGTTTCAGCAATCCTGCATCTGGGTGGAATGTCAACCAATATCTCCTCGTTTCTCACCTCATATCTCCGCACAAAGCTCCACCCCAGAGTGGGTTGAAAAGAACCCAAGGAAGCAAAATTAGGTATTTAGTTTACAATCACTGTCTGCTCACTGGTCTTTATCACATAGTCCTTAACAAACTTAATTGCTGATTTGCTAGATCTCACTGTATCTTAGAGGAGGCATGTAAGAGACAGAAGAGGACATTACAGTCAGGCAAAGGGACAGCAGTTAGATATAGCAGCCGAGACTGTGAATGGGGAGGAAGTATACAAATTCCCCAAAGCTCTTGGAGAAGCCTATATTCATTATCACACTTTACAAAAATAGCATGATCCTAAGAATGGCCCAGGGCAATGAGGTAATGATTAATAATGTAACCTATTTAAAAAAGCAGTGCTGGAGTGGTCAAATTCAAAGACAGAAAATAGAATGGTGATTGCCAGGGGCTGGGAGGAGGAGAGAATGGCGAGTTGGTGTTTAATGCATACAGAGTTTCCATGGGGAAGAGGAAAAAGTTCTGGAGATGGGTGAAGATAATGGTTGCATAACAATGTGAATGTACTTAACACTACAGAACTGCACACTGAAACACAGTTAAAATGTTATATTTTATGTTACACATATTTTGCCACAATAAAAAAGCATAAATAATAAAAATAAATATAAATTTTAAAATCATCCAAAATGAGGCAATACTATGCTAATATACTTTGATTAAATGAAATATAAATGCTTAAAAAGAAATAATTTAGACACTTGAAGTCACGGACTTGCTTGGAAATTAATTTTCTGGAAAACATTATCATCCAGTAATGCCATCTGGATGGCATTTCTGCTCCTTATGTAACATATGGACCTGAATTTGTAATTATCTAGGATCTTTTATGAATTTACCAAGCTTTTACATCCTCCAAAGCCTTTGAGTTATATTTTTGGAAACAGATTTTCTGTTTGCTTTTTCCTCTATGCTTTTTGAGATGATTTGCATGAATATTACTATAAGATATTACTTATTGCTATAACTTTATTTATACCAAATTTTAAAATAATACACTGAAACCATCTTTATATAATCTCAGTTATGATTAACTTACGAGCTTCAAATAATTTAACTTCTAATAATGTCTAATTTGCTGTTTAAGGAAAAATGACATTCAATTTCTTTATTGGTTTTATTACAGGAAATGTTGGTGGTCAGCTGGGCCTATTTTGTGGGGCCAGTATAATTACAATTATAGAAATCATTGAATATATATTGACCAATTTCTGCTGGATATGCATTTTCTTTTTGGTGAAGATACCTGAAATGATCCAGTGGACTCCTCCACCTCAGAATCATCTGGGGAATAAACATAGAATAGAGGAATGTTAATGTTAATGTTCACATAGAATAAAAGCGTTTGCTTTTTTCCTCACAATACCTTCGGATTTATCATGACTAATTCATTGTTATGTAACTTTATATTGTAGTTTTGGGAGTTCAATTAAAGCCAGTGAAGACATGTGTCTCTTTATAAATATTTCTGTCTATCCATCTATCTATTTGTTCTTGGTTGTGTCTCTCTGTCTGTATATTTATTTATACATATAAAAGAAATAGGCACTATTTATTTCACCTTTGTATTTCCAGTACCTAGAACAGCAGAGGTTACATAGTTAGCATTTCATAAATTTATTTTCAATGAATAAATGTTTTATAATGGAAAAAAGACATTCTTTATGACTAAATATGTAAATTATATGTGATAAACTATGAGAAGACAAAATAATTCTTCAGGAAGTAGTGTGTATGATCTATACCTTATAAAGTTTTTGAGAATTTTCATTTTCACTAAGATTCAACATTTTTTTTCTTTTACTTGAAGTGTTCTATTGTAAATTACTTTTGGAGGGGCAGAAATGTATATTTCCTACATAGGTATATACTTAAAATAAATCTAATTGAAAATAAGATTAAATCTGTAGTTTATTGAATGTACATGACATTTTGTCATTTTTTCCCCAAGTACTTCTATTTACTTACTTAATCTAGAGAAGAAATTCTAGAGTTTCAGTGTTCTCCTTACCCCTGAGGCTATAGACCTACTTTCAACTGCTCAGAATATTCAATCAGTGGTGAAATGTTCAGAAGCCTTCTTAAACATAGTTAAGAAATCATAATCAAGTCAAAGACTTCTAACCTCTAATTCATTCTCTGTAGTATTGCATTTTTTTCTAGACACCATGAAAATAAGTTGGGAAAATCCTGAAATGTTGTCTTTAAGCTTAATGGTAAGCAAGTGCTAGTGCCTTGGGAATGAGGCCAGTGCAATCTGGTGGTAGTCAAATTAGAAATATGTATATCTCATGACTCAGAAATCCCTATCTTGGGTAAATACTGCAGAGAAAGTCTCCCACAGAGATATGGCATGCACCTTCTCACTTCCTACATTGCAATTCTTCTACTTACACAAATATCAATCCTAAACTAAACCAAGGAAATACTATTCTTTCCCTTTTTTTCAACATATTGAACAATTTTAAACAATTTTGTATTTTCATTGTTTCATAGAAAATCTCTGCAAATTTTGTTATGGGTCTCACATAAAATGGGTCGAGTAGCAGAATATATTAATTGAGAGGACTTTCCTACTTTTTGGACTTGATGAAGCTTGTATGATAAAAAATATTCAGTGTTTCATATAGCTCACTAATTTATTTTCCAATATTCCTATACTATGAAAATGACAAATATATATAAAAAGACCCTTGAACAATACGGGAGTTAGGGATGCTGACCCCCCAATGGCTGAAAATTCACGTATAACTATTGACTTCTCAATAGCCTACTGTTGACTGGAATCCT